ACCCTATCGCTTGAAGTGCCACAAACTTTGTTTTCAAATTTTGCTCGATTTCGCGTGTTCCAAGATTGGACATGGCACATCTGGTCCCATGGCCATATCGCAGTGCCCGACCGCATGCGCGATTCTTTGGATTTCAGAAAATTGCTTTTACAACATCACTGTGTCGTTTGCGCAAAATGACAAGTAGCCCGACTGCCATGTGGCTCCAAAATCTTCCAAAGTCGTAATTGCAACTACAACATCGGTCGAGTGCTCGCGGGAAATACTGGGGCCGTCCATTGCAACCCATCGCTAAATGCACTGCTGGCCACATTACCGTGATTGCAATATTTGTGTTGAGCATCGGATGAAGCGAGCACCAAAAAAAAAAGAGAAAAACAGAACGGTGCCATTGCAGTAAGTGCTCTGACCGCAGACAGGGGTGCATTTTGCTGAGTCGGGATACCGAAAATAGGTCGGCAGCATCAGGGATGTCTCATACAAGGCAGAGTGGGTTGCAGCAGATAGACAATCGGCCCGAAAACTGGCATTTTAAGGAATAAACAGGAGCGTCATTACATCTTTTCCCCAATTTGGCAGAATTTCGAGCAACGTGTCGTCCCTCAAATAGGGATGATTGGCCGGTGTAGATAATATATATTTATGTCGCCAGCCACTCGGCAATCGTCTTGCAAGCTGTTGTCTGTCTCCCTACTTCAAGATATCAAGTTGCTTATCGACATCACGTTTTATTCATTACCATGATCGATGGTCACTTGCGGACTCCCAAATACATAAATTAGAATGTCAAACAGGTTTCCTACACACAATTTCCATCACTCTGTTTCACCATATCCAGGAGAGTTGGGAGCGAATGTGGCGCTGTGCAAGAGGGAAGATGAGCAAGGATGGTATTTGCCACTCCACGGACTCCTAATAATGTACGTCTTGTTTTCATGTGCACAGGACCCATATTTAGGTATTTTTGCGCGATTTGCCCATAAAGACCGAAACATATTTTTACACATAAATATGTACATACGTGCTGTGTGTACGCCATACATCACAAGCCTGTCATCGTGCTCATAATAGGGAAAGATCGTGCGTGTTGATCGTAAGTGACCCACCAAGTGGACGTGGTCATCAAGAGCTGCAACAATCGTATCGAAATCACACGTGCGTTCTGATACAAAGAAGTTCATAATCCGCACCCTCCCAAGACATGAAAATCACACGGCAGTCTATACACTCTTAGTAGCGCCTTGATTCTGCACTCCTGATCATGGCGACATTATTTTATCAAATGGTGGTCGTAATGTGATTGCCTGTTGCGCCTTGCACAGGGCAAGAGACGAGGTGTAAACAGCCTTAAAAGACCAGGCTTGAAAAGGACGTCGACAAAGTGAAAGCTGCACAGATGAAGGTGACATGGCGTCTGGAAGGCAAAAACACATACGTGCATCTGGAGTTCGCCGACCGCCACACATGTGCATTTTTAGCATGGCACAGCCAACGTGTGCTGTGCGTATGGCGTATCACGCACATGATGTCCATACACAGCTTTCCATATTCCAAAATACTACACCGTACTTTATGATCACTTCATCCTTTTCACCACCTGCTCAATGGTGATAAACACCGGTTCAGTCCAGCACGCCAGCCGCTCTATTAGGTGTGACAAAGCATTGGGAAACATTTCTTCGTTGACATTATGCACTGTGCCATTTCAGTGAGTCAACTGACGAATCATCTGCCAACATGGCTGGTTGCAAGGCATGTTGGCAGCGCCGAAGACGTGTCGTGCAGGGGGCGGTGGCTTGCGGCAGATCGGCATGGCTAACTTTTCAACAAACTTTGCTAAGAGCACCACGTGTCCCATGGTCCACGCTCGCGGAATACCCCCCTTGCCCAACTTGCCGACGAGGAGAGCCCACAACGCTTCGAAACCATGGTGACGGCTCGTCCGCGCAGCCAATCCTGGGATGCCTTGAACGCACACTTCACTCTCCGATCCCACGCACCGCGACAACAGCAGCGGGCAGCAAGTTGGGCCCTTGGTGCGCATGCCCTGCCACGCTCTAAGACGGTGTGTCAGATCTACCCACTGGCACGGGTGATCACACACAACAAAAAGACCCAGGCGCTACTCGGCAATCAACGGATCCTGCTCCCCGCCTCTTTTGCCCGCGCTTACCCGCGTTGTTTGTGGTAGCATGGGCAGCAAACACCCTCGCAAAATCAGCCCGACCCCAAACGGCCGATAAACAGCTAGGGTAACAAAGAGCTGGCAAGATAGATAGCAAGCAAGCCGCCACAGATCTTGGTGTATGACGCTCAGCAACTTCAGCATCTGCTAGATCTAGTTGGGAACGGGGATGGCGCGTTCATGGTATCATACTTCTATGTTTGCTGTTTACGGCCGCAGCCTGAAGCGCGCGTCGCTCTTTACCACCGCCGTACCCCAACCCATCTGGACGTGATCGCCCACTGTCGCGTTGAACGCCGGGCGATGGCGAAGAGCACCGCAGCGGTTTGTCCGTTCTCGCGATCGCAGGGCTGCCGCGCTTCCTGACAGTATCATTCCATCTGGATGCTGTTGCTCGTGGGACCTTGCGCACCTTGGGACTTCTGCCCGGGCAGTTTGTTCAGCGACGTGGTGGCTTCAAGGCGCCCAGAGCCGCCACGCGAGGTTCGCCCGCTGCTACGCAGGTCCAGCGAATTGGGGGCACAGAGCCCGCCCAATGAGTGGTGTTTTTAAATCTCGGGGGCCCTCGTTCCCGCGGGGTCTAGTCTTTTCCTTGATTGCCTTAAATCGGGACAGCTGGTGCACACTCGGGGAGCCAAATACTCAAAACTCAAAACACACCCTCTCTGCATCCCGGCACAATAGAGTGCAGTCACACCGGTTTGCCAATCGTCCCTCGTTGCATTAATTTCAAACCAAATGTCTTGGGTGGGAGCGAAGAACGAGACAGCCACATACCCGTTTTGCCAACCTCAAGTCCCCAGTACCTCATTTGCACGGTTCCCTTTGAAACTGCTTTCCACGCCGTGCACAACTGTGTTTAGTTCGGTTCCTGGAGTTTCGCCAACCACGCCGTCGCAAAGGGGCGCTGCCCTTAGCTTGACAACAACTTAAGAGCTGTGTCAAACACTTTCCCACTGGGCCACTCGTGTCCAGGTTTGAGAAAACGGCAGCGCCTTACAAACAAATCCAATTGTGCCCATCATTTCGAAACTTTTCTGTGCGTTCAAAGGATCCCACCCAACGGCCCTGTTCCTGATTTAAACGCATTCACTCCATATCATTCCGTAAATTCCGCTTCATCCCAATCGTCACAGGTGATGACTGATCAATTCGCCTTCATCGACGTGCCGCCTTCTCATTCTCTATACATGTGTGCGTACTGCTCCCATTCCACGGACAGATATCAAACACCAAAAGGAATGATGCAGTCTCAAATGACCTTCTCTAGTCAGCTGCTTCAAGGCTTGCGTCTCACTGGCAATTCCCATGAAGGCTATAGAACGGCCAAACATGATCGATAAGAGGACAACAGCTGTTCTGGCCACTTCGGCTTTAAAGCCCCAAATTTTGATAAGGGTTTCGTGGCTGAGAATATTAGACCCCCCTTCAGGACCACATGCTGGTGCGGCAATGCCTACTCATCGAGGCCAGCGCCAATCTGCCTCAAGCCAATGCCCTGTAGTTGTGGTGTGTTTAGAATTTTGGCAGCAATAAGTTCAGGTCGACTGACGACAACAGGCCGTCCTATATGATGAAAGCAAAATCCAGGCAAGGCCAGAAAGCACGGCGAAGTCACCACACCGCGTTCAGCGGAATGGAAAGGACATCAGTTCGCAATGGACTCCATGGATCCAAGCTCTAGATCGCACCCGTGGCATGCGACCTGGACTGAAGCGCGGCTCAGTGCGGTAGCCAGCATTCAACAATAATGCTGATTCAAATATGGTGAATTCTGAATATGTGCTTCATGCACTTAAGCCAAGGGACAAGGGCTCCATCGCAGTTTGGCCATCCGGTGTTCCAACGCCCTTGCAAGATGTTCCAAAACTACTGCCCACGCAGTCGCGCATGTCAAGCCAATCAAACCTGATGAAGGTGGCGCTCCTGTGCGACATCGAAAAATTCACCATGGAATTTTACGTAGCAAAGGATGTAACGGTTAATAGGGATTGCTTCGCATACTGGATAACATTCAACCGAGGAGTCATTGTCATTGGCACTACATGCGGGTATCCTCTTCAGCAGACACTCATGTGGCAAACACCTCCTTCGAATCCTTTTTGTGGTCTTTGTGGCATTGAGAGGGGGTGGCATCGGCGTGAAATGATCTGCTGCGTAGCAGATTTAGATGATTTGGGGTCTTGCGTGTATTGTATCGTATTGTTGAACATAGAATCTGTGCTGAAACGTACAGTGCAGCTACTGCTGGGCTGCGTGCTTCTCTATCAAAGTTGCAAGTGGTATTTTGTTGCCATTGCCAGCACTGTTGGGTTCCAAACGCCAGCATCGACATTGAAATTCGACAGCTAATCAGACTTCACCAAACAGTGCATATTTGGTGTAGGATTAAACTATTGTAAAGCGAAGCGACGACCACACCTTGTGCATGAGCAAAGCGAAGACTCAAAAGGCGCCAGCGTCAGTGCATTTAACTGCTTCGGACATGATCTGCTGGCAGCAGATTTCTGGCAGCAGATCTGCACCTCTCATCGCACAGCACAGCACTCCCGGGTTCAAGACATTCTCTGAGCAATTGCCCTCCGTGGATAAAGAAAACACCCTCAAATCCTTATCATCGTTTTTTTCCTCCGTCACGTGCATTCCGATCCACTCCTCCACATCGCTATACACACACCCGGTGTGAACCGGTGAATGAACCGGGCTAGTTCATTCATTTGAATTTCTAAAGCCCTGCTGTCTCGTATACAGCCCTCATTCCTACCGTCCCCGTGACAATAATCGACTCTGCAACTCAGCCTTTGCACACAGCGCCCTATTTCTCGCCGAACAATTTTTCCATTTCCTTAGAAATGACCACGCGCATGATTTCGTTAGTGCCCTCCAGTATGGACAGCACCCTCAAATCCCTGAAGTACCTCTCGACTGGGTAGTCCCTCAGGTAGCCGTACCCTCCCAGCAGCTGCATGGCGTCATTGGCGACCTGGAAGCAGGCGTCCGTCGCAAAGCGCTTGGCCATGGCGGCCTCCAGTGTGGCGGTTGCCGACTGTGCAGAAGGCGTGAGCGATACAATCAGAAGGGCTGAAACACACGGTGTTAATGCAGGCATATTGTTCATTGTTTGAAGCTGGTAAACGTTGAGCAACTTCAAGCAATCAACAACATACCTGTACAAGGTTCATGTGGCACGTTTGAAACTACGCAGAAGGCCAAAGCGCCATGGAGAAAAGTTATGTGCAACGGAACAAATCGAAACACAAACAAGAAATGCATGGTGGACAAAATGACCCACTATGGGGTGCCGTTCAGCACGGGTTCCAAATATGAGGGTGTAGTCTGGAGCAGCTGCTAATCGACCACTGTTTGTGAATTTGCGCGCAATTCCTCGTTTGTCACAATCCCCAAAATATGATTCAGCCGCCGCCCTCTGCACGCCGGTGAGAGTGTCCCTCAAAAGCATGTTTCATGTTACACAACTAGTGCCATGTCAACGCGCAGTGCACAACTGATGCGCGACTTTGAGCCATTCAACATGGCACAAAGGAGGAAATTGTAAATTGCGGAGTAAACGTAAGACAGAAGTGTAGAATTCTGTAAGAAAGACCCGCCTGAGATGGCGACTCCCGTCAGGCGGGTAAGGGAGCTGTCCGCATGTCAGAGCGTTTGTTTCCGCTACGTCTCACATCTTATGATCATTGTCACGGCACGAGTGCATCACTCGTTATGTGCTCGCAAATGCAAGCAAACGGATTGTCTCTCTCACGACTCTCGGAAATCTGCACGCACCGACTGTGCGCACAAACTGCGTGAAATGATGTCTTTTGCCAGACGGGCCAAAAATCGCCATTGCACACAGAGTTTTTCCAGGGCACAGATTCTGTTCAATTGCTCATTCCTATCCTATCCGGTTTTGTGGCGATCGGCAATCCTAACAGGTTTCGGCTCTGTTCTGCGCCAGTGCCGCACGAACCTGCTCGTCGGCAGCCCGAGCTGCGCTCCTGACCATCAGCCGCGACCCATGGAGCCTCGTGACCATGTCCGACAATTTGAATTGGCTGCTCTGGAACTGCCCAATCTCCTTGCCGAACTGTTTCCTCTCCTTCGAGTAGCGCATCGCAGCGTCGAGGCAGAATTGGGCGCCGCCCACGCCCACGGCGGCTATGTTAATGCGGCCCCTGTCCACTGCAACACCGCCGTCACTGCCTGTCCCAGGCTGCCCAATGGCACCATGTCCATTGCTTCTGCGTGTGTTGATCCTCTTTCTGGTCCCACATGTCACATAGCAAAACAGAAGCCCTTGCTCCAAACTGATTCTGCGTGTACTACAAGTATCTCATAGGACAAGCACCGTCGACATAGCGTCGTTGCATATGGTGACAGGTTTGGGCAACTGCAACCAACTGGCAATACTCAGCCACGTGCACGTGACGGTGACGTAAAGCGTGATGTTTCCCACAGGGCGTTGCGATTCCATGGCCCACTGATTGCCCTGTCAGGAAATTCATGGAGTGCTCTGATATGGGATGCGCGACATCCTTCGGCGCGTGGTACCCATGAAGCAGGGCGCGAGCAGCAAGCGATCGCGTGAGACACTGCGCAGTGCTGCTTGTGTCTTAAAGCATCAAACAGAAGCATTCCTGCGGGATCGCGACTGTGGCACATACTGTGAGCACCAATTCCTGCAAAGCTCCCGTTGTTGCGCTCTAAGAATTGTTTGACCCAGGTGCCATTTAACTTAGTAAGGCACTATGTCGATTTTGGTGCGCTTAGCGTCAATTTGACGCAGGGGTTTGGGGTGGGGGACAGACCTATGACGCTGAGAGATTATGTTTTGCCACGAAATCGACATAAGGAGGAAAGGTGCCCCACAACGCCGCGGATCAGCTGCAGCGACTCATCACTTGTTCCTAAACATCCCTCAAGTGTTCAATATTCAAGGAAGGCCTTAAAATGCATCAATTTACAGCCATTGTGGCGGCCAGCCTCAATTATCACAGCCGTTAAATCTCAACCCACTTATCAACCCTGAAAACTGAAATCTGTGCAACTTTGACAGTTTTTCCTCCTCTCAATCACCTAGAAACTGTATAAAACTGTTGTTTAATGTTGCTGAGTCATCCTGGCATCGACATAAGGATTGACGCTAAGGAGGGAGAGGGGTTGGGGGTGGGGTTCTGAGCTTAACGTCAGATTGACGTTAAATGTAAAAAAAACGACATAGCGTCTTCCCTTAATGTGGAAAAGAATCTTGCCTTCACGGTGTCCATACTACGACACAACAGTCAAAATATGCATGCACGTTCCACGCCACGGAACGGCAACAATCCCTACACGTAATAATTGTATTATTTGCAAAGATCTTCCAGCCGCTCCTATTTTCGTTCTCTGTGGGGCAGCACATGAGCGAGACACTGCCAACGACGCCTTAAACGTGCAAGGGCAGCGCTCCATCCCATTCTCACAAATGCAAACAATGAGGAACATGAATAAAGCAAGTGGCCATTGTTAATGTATACTAATAAGAAAACCAGATAATTATCAACAGTCAGACACTCTCGATGCTTCAGGAGGCCTGCCAGCACTGTAGTGCACACGTGGAGGTACAGCAGCGTGCCATGTGTCGGCACACTGCACGGTTCTCACATGAGGACATGGCGATCTTGAAACCTTCTCCTTCTGGCCCCAGGCGGGCGCCCTCCGCCACTCGCACGCCATCAAAGATGACCATCTTCGTGGGCTGTGATCGCCACCCCAGCTTGTCCTCCTGCTTGCCAAAGCTCAACCCCTCCACCCCCTGTGCGCAGTCAATCAGTAAGTCTACACGCCATTCGAAACATCAATCAATGCATCAATGAGCCAAGGAGCCAAAGACTCAGTCAATCAATCCATATCATATATAATATTATATATGGCATATGGAAAGCTGAACCAAGATGCAAGCACCAGCAAATCACTTCGGGTTGCATTATCCTGCAGCAGAGTTGCCCAGGTCGAAGGGCTCCATGTGCAGATATATATTAATGCAGTAAACGCAAATTTTATTGAATTTCCTTTCCAGTGCATCGCTTTGTTGGCACAAGCAACGGCAATTTGATGCACAACTCAAATCGTTCTATTGCAATGCACAATGGTATGGAAGAAGCACAGGGAGAAATGCACACTGAAGCACAGTCAGTGCCCAAAACCATTGTCCTGCTAAACAATTAGGAAAAGCACATTGCACTTTTCTTAAAAGGGAGTGTATCTCACAAGTGTACAACAACACTGCCTTCTTCAATGGGAGGCACAGGAGCTGAACAACACCTCAGCCAACAACGCTCACAGTGATCTGTTCGCATTGTCCCCATTCCTCCAAGATTCAGAACATGTTTAAGAACTGACGAGAGTTCTTGGACACATGCACAGCTGTGGATGGACACGTGCTCCCTGTGCCGTCACTTGCTTGGCCACTTGACGTCCACTTGACCATCAGTGAGTAGCCCTCTCAGAGCAATGGCCCATTTCACACACAATACCGTGTGCTGCCAATATGGCCAATTCACAACATCCTGAAGGTGAGCACGCAAGCGACTCCCATTTTCAGAAGCACAAGCAATCCTTGGCATGGCTCAAACCCATTCTATGCCTGTTCCAGACATAGTGGTACCAATATGCATACAGTTGTGATGCCCTACATAGGCAAAATCTTTAGGCCAATGTGCTCAACGACCACCTTCCGATTCTCGTTTGCTACATCGCGAACTTGGCCATTGTGGACTTTTCCCTATACTCCAATAGGAAACATGAGAGCACGCTGCCACATTGCTAGGGACCTTGGGGAACAGTCCTTTGTTTTGGCCCATTTTGACCCCGCAGATGCAGTTCACCTGCTAGTCCATGGCCAGGGTTGGCTTGTGTGCATAGCGAATATCCAGTGGCATTTACTGTTGCTGCTACAAGGCGTTTGAGCAGTGGCACACGACAAGGCTGATGTGCTCAAACAACACTTCTTCTTGAAGGTACATGGCATCTTTTTTCCACAATTTTTGTGTCTCCTTCATTGTTAACAAAACACATAAAACGAATCCACAGGCAACGTCGACCGTTCCTCAAGCACACAATGAGTCATTCCACACACCTTGTCCACCAAGAAGCTCGAGATGCCTCCAGGCCCGCTACCCCCGGTGCGCGCCATGACCAGGTAGAGGTCCGCCACCCCCGCTCCGCTGATGAACGCCTTGGTGCCGTTGAGAACGTAAGCGCCGTCCTGTTTCCTGGCCGTTGTCGCGAGCGACGCGGCGTCGCTACCGCTCCCCGGCTCCGTGAGGCAATAGGAGCACAGGCGGTCCATGCTGGTCAGCGCAGGCAGCAGCTCCTCCTTCTGTCGGTCTGAGCCGAACCTGCGGCAGCGTAGCTCTGTACCGGCGTTTAGGAAGAGGCCTTGCTGAGCGGTGGGGGGCCGGGCACGACAGGTGGCGTTCAGAGGCCTCAAAATCACCGTTCAGGAAGGACACCCCACACCGCCGTGCAGGTGCAAGGCTGTGCTGGGCGTGGCCAGTCCTCGACAGATGCAATCGAAGGATTGGCACCAGCCAAAGAGCGGCAACCTCAAACATTACGCACGAGCAGATTCGTCAGCTGTCATGACCGTTCAAGATTTCGCTTCTCCATCAGTCGCCCCAACCCCTCGCCCGCGCCCACCCGACCGCCCCCAAGACCGCCAGCGACCACCCCAGCACCACGGCTTCTGTCAACAATCAACTATCCATCAACAACCTTAGGGGCTCTTCCGCCCACCTGGCGATCGCCCCGGCCACCATGTTGTGAATCGATAGGTACGCCGCCGCCGGCACGTCCCCGTAGGCCAGCGCCTCCAGGATCACGGCCGCGTCCGCGCAGCCCAGCCCGGCGCCCCCGTACCGCCCATCCACTCCCATCCCCGCGAAGCCCAGGCCCGCCGCCTTCCTGAACGTCTCCACTGGGAACACCTCGCCCGCGTCCCACGCGGCGCCGTGCGGCATCAGCTCGCCAGCCGCGAACGTCTCCGCCAATCGGCGGAACTCCTCCTGATCGGCATTCAGTCCGCAAGCCCCCAAGGGGGCCGATCCGGACAGAGCTGCGCGCTGGACATCGAGGAGGCGGGCCCCAGGGGCCAAAGCGCGCCGCCACAGGCACCCCGCGGCCGACCTGAGCATGCTTGCCGCAGAGCGCTGCCCGAGTTGCGAGCGGTGGTCGCGGGAGGAAGCGCGTTGGCTTGCCGACGCGCGCTGACGTCCCGGGCTTTGTGCGCCAGGTGGCGGCCCCTACCCTAATCCTGCAAGGCGCGGTCCTAGTTAGGAGCCGACGGCCCGGAACGGGGTTTCGGGTTTTCGGGCCCGTGTCCGATTAACGGCTGGCGGTCCTTTTGCGAATTTTTGTTGCCTGGTCTTGAAGTGCGAGCTGACGGCTGCCTGCTCGCCGTGACACCTACTTCTGGTTAGTTGATCGAACCATTGCATCCTTGCAGTGTGGCCTTTGCGGTGGTTAATGTTCTCTAGTGCCCCGGACCCAAAATGCTGAAAGGGCCGTTCGTTCAACAACACGTCCGCCTCGCCTTCAGTTTTGCTTAACCCGGCCGAGCGGCGCCTCCATCAGTCTTCCAAGCCTCCCTCCCGATTGCCATACCAACCCAATTCCGAAAACTGACCCCACCACGTGTATCGCTGGGACCTTGAGGCCCGCGATCGATTCCAATCGCCCCCCTGCCCCCCGCCAATCGCGTCGCCCCCCGATATCGGATTGCGCCACCCTGGCCGTTTCCCTTTTTGTGCGGCTGCCGCTGCCACTCCCCAATCCCACCACCCACCACTCCCCCCGCCCCCCACGCATGGCGCACTGTCTCTCCACCCCGCCCTCCGGGCTGGGCCCCTGCGGCCTGGCCGCCCCCACGGGCCTCAAGCCGCTGCGCTGGCCCCGGGGGGCCCGATCGCGCAGGCGGGGCGGCCAGGAGGCTCGCGCGCTCGACCCAGATTCCCTGTCCGCCATGCTGCCCCAACTGCAGAACCTTGTGCGCGGCTTGCACCTGGCATACGACCCCGTGGCGCTGCCCTGCTCGACCATGAAGTGCGGGGACATAATCTACAGGAGGTGCGCCTGAGGGTGGGGGCCCGTTGCGGCGTATTGGGGCGCGCCCGCCGTGCCTTTTGCGACAGTTTTTTTTTGAATTGGCCGTAGGGGTGGGATGGAATCGCCATAGTGCTCGGGGTGTGGGCGGGGGTGTGGTGGGCTTTTCGTGCACGGTGGGCTTCTCCTTCGATTGGAGAATGCGTCGTGGAGGTTTGGGCACCCAAAGCGGAGGGGGAGGGGCCGGCCGACGGCATTTGTTGCCGGCTGCTGGCTGAGATCCCAATTTGGGGATGTGTCGGTTGGTCTGCCGGGGTTCGGACATCGGCCTTTTCCGCGAAAATGGATCGCGCCGCGCAATGGGCGTCGCATGCGTGATGCGCGAAGCCAGGCCCATGGGTCCGCCGGTGGCGGGATTATGCGCAATGCTTCAAATGCGAGGGGAGCAGCGCGCATCGGTTTGTTCGGGGTTTCCGGCCACGCAGCGTTCACCTGCCACCGGTTTGCCGGCAGCCTCGGCGCCGCGGCGCAGGATCCAGGCTGCGCGGAAGCCCTGCAAGCGCGCCGGTCGCGTTGGACCGCAAGGGTCCTGGCAGTGGCAGTCCGTGCCCCCTGTTGCCTTCCTCGCGGGCTGGGAGCGCCGGGATCCCCGGCGGCGGGGCGTGGACTGGCACCGCGCCGGTATCCCGGCTCATGGTCGAATGTGCTGTATTTTGGCGCAGCTCGCTGGACCCCGCCCTGCGCATGGAGAACGACACGATCAGCCCGCTGGGCGCGGCGCTGCTGGCCGCCGTCGGACTGTACCTGCTGGCGCCCCCAGGTGACGTTTGGCCTCGGCTGGGTTGAGATGGCGTGGAGGCCGAGCAGAGCACTGTCCCCACCCTAATGGGCTGGACACGCCGTGGCTGGGCGCAGCCCGGCCGCCCTCTCCGAGCGCTTGGGCTCTCTGGCGCATGGATCGTTGACATGCGTCATTCAAGGGTGTGGTTTTGTGTTGTTGATTTTTGTCCACGCTCGAGGTGGCGCCTGTTTGCGGCCGTGCCTGTCAGTGCCGCTCGCCGACGAGAACCCCGTTTGGCAGACGTTCCAACTTGGCCATTTTTGGTGCCTCGGTTGCTGCCCAGTGACTTGTTTTCACGTCGGCGTCCGTGGAGCCGTGGAGGCGCG